CTTACTTCTTGCATCTCACACATTCCAAAAAAGGTTGTTTTGGCCAGCAATGTTTCTTACAGTTATACCAGCATTCAGTTGATTCTTACTTTTCCTCAAGGAGGTTAAAAAGGCTGCTAAAGCTCAGCAGGTTTTGCTTTGGGTTTTTTTTTTTTCCTTCTAAACATTCACGGCTGCAAGAGTCTTTGATCTATGCACCTGTTCTGAAGGCTATCAGCTGAGGGTCTGTATGGCGCTGTAAGTATGCCGCCTTATTCCCACAGACACACGTTCACCACACCTTTTGAATTAGCTGTCCTTCCACTAAGAGGCAGTATTGGCCTAGCTTTCCCAAGTCACAGATTCTACAGGAATTAGAAAAAGGAGAAACAACATGAAAACATGGGGTAGCAATTGATCCTAGTTTCAATTTAATCCAACTCCTAGGGTAAGGCAGTGACTTAATCCCTGTCACATTGATGAGTACAGAGTATTCCAATGACAACGAAACGTTTGGCCAAGACATGGATTAAAGGCACTTGCTGGATAGAGTTTACCAATGCACATGGTAATACTTGCACTGCACCTTCTCATGCTTGCTAGAGCCATAATTTTTACCAAGTTGTTACAGCCACACCAATATTGGCTGTACTCAGAAGATACATGTGCCAGACTTCCTGTTTATTGTACAGTGGAGCTCTAGAGAAATAAAGACTTCTAAAGTAGGAAAATGTATGCTTTGGATCCTGGGGTATTAGCAGTTGTGGGTGTGAAAATCAGATGGCCAGGTATGAAAAACTTACTGCTGACTGGATTTTTAGATAATTGTGGGAATGTTCTGATCACTTCAGAGAGGCCAGTAATCTAATGACACAGAAAAAAAATTTGCATTTTTCTGGTATGAAAATACCATAACAAAACACTGTTCCTGCTTTGGTTAGTAAGTCAGCCCTATTTTTATTTCATGGTTTTTTCCCCCTGTGAATTAGAATGATAGGAACTGTAGCAGAAACTGTTTTTTGTTCTAGCAGTTAGCCAGCATCAGGACTACTGGATTTGGCTAGTATCAGGGCTGCTAGGTATAAAAGACTTACATGTAGAACCTGGCTGTAATTTATGACATTGTATTGTGCCGAAGAGAGAAGTAATCCAGGGATCCATCTGGTGCAAGCACCAAAATAATCTGATCATGTGGTAGGAATGTCATTGACGCAAAACCTCTCCCCTCACTAAGCTGAAGATTCTCTTTAGCAATGAGAAGTGTGGAAAGGTGCATTTCACCTCTTGATGGAAAAAATGAAGGAGCATCTGGCCTGACTGGTAGGTACAGGGTCATTGATACATCTCAGTGATGAATGCACAAAATTAAGAGGTCTCCAGGCAGTGGAGATGCTTGAAGTCCATGCTGCCTGTAGAAAAAGTGCATGTTTATGAAGCTGTCTGTCAGCATTTGGACTGTGGAACGACTGTTTTCAACACTAGGCAGATGGCTCTGATCCCTTGCAGAGATCACATGCCCTGAGCTCTCAGACACTCTTATATGAGCTTCCCATCTTTGAGTAGAAGCATCTGTCGTCACAGACTTGTTTGGCTGAGATAAGATGGGTTTACTCTTGCAGTTCTTTCTACCAGTTTAAGGAAAAGATTTACTTTGACTTCTGTGTGTCTGAGATGTCTGCTTGGCAGAGTTCTTGTGTAGAGCATAGATAAAGTCTGTCAAATAACATCAAATAAGAAGGCACCTTCCTACTCACAGTGGTTCATAAAGCTTGCTGTAGTCTGGAATCATTCTTGTGCTAGCAGACCTATATCTTATACAGCTGCTGTGAACTAAACACTTTGAGTTGAAGAGGAATTTTTCTTCTTTTGTTTGAATGTTTAGTGGTTTGGTCCAGCTAGGGCAGTTTAGCTGAGCAGAATGTGTTACCTTTCCATGTCACAGCAAGATGCTGTTGAAAGGAGTTTTGAGAACTCTTAGGCTAAGTGAAAGACAATCTGAAAGTTTTTGAAGAAATGGAAGACAAGATTGGCCTCAGTGTACAGAAATCAGGGCCATACAAAGACAAATTATTTTTAACTGTCTCAAGATATCCTTTGTGACTGCAGCTAGGAGAGGAATCTCACATTGTTACATAGCTGGTTGATTTGATATTCTAGGATGTCAGTATAGTACTAAGAGGCACAGCGTTCCTGTAAATGCTGTAGTTGTGCCCCTCCTCCTTGAAGACTGTCTTTTTGCCAGCAAAACTTCCATTTACTGATAAAAAAGTCAGATCTTCATATTTTTCATATGGTACTCCGTAAAGATAACTCTTAGGCCTCATCAAATTATCAGCCCCAGTTTTGAAAGTTAGTTTGAAACCTTTAACTTAAGACCAATCATCTGAAAAATATGTAAAAAGAAGGAATAACTGTTTGTCTTACTGGGATTTTGTATCTGTAAAACACCTTGATCTCCTGAGTTTTCCGTGTTTCTATTGACTCCTGTGGTTCTAGAAATCTGTGCCGTGGACGGAACCAAAAGACTTTAGCCTTTACAGCATTGGATAAAGGCATTGAAAATACAAAGCTTTGCCCTGCATTGCTAGCCCATATTGAAAAAAAAATCTAGTGTTGTTTTCTTTATTAACTTGTGTGTTAGAAAGAGGATTTCATTTGGCCAAGAAAGGATCTTTTTTTTGGTCACAGATATGACTTTGACCCTTCTCTTAGAAATTCATGCGAATGTAACCAAGTTATAATTTTGAAAAATCACAGTAGGTGTATAATTAATAGTAGCCTTAATGGAGCACTGAAATATCGTCAGATCAAGTCTAGACATCAGAACAGAAAGTGAGTCTGTCTGATCATCTTAAGGTAATGCCTGGGCAAAGCACTGGTAGGTAGCAACTGATAAGTTAGAGGCTAGGAAGCGAACAGTAGTATATGTAGATGTAATACAGAGCCAAGAACAGCAGGACACAGAAAGTAGGAGTTCTGGAAAGGAGATTGGTATGAGGAGAAGGAAGAACCACCAGTAGCTGGGACTGACTGGGTAAAGAGAATGGTTCGCAGTAAGGGCAGAAGGTAGGAAGAGTAGGCACACAGAATAGGAATCAAACTCAAAAGCTCAGACAGAAGGGATCCCGTGGCAGCTGGAGCACTTGAGTGCACTCTATTCTTTTTTATATTGTGAGAAAAGGGGGTATGTCATTATCATCTGGTGCTGGTCCTCACAGAAGGATATCTACCCGTATCTGCTACAAGCTATTTATTAACTTAAATAGCAGAATCTGTGCAGTGCAGATAATGTTTTCAAAGAACTGAATTGGTGATATCACATAATGAAATTCCAAGAGAGGAGTCAATTTATGATGTAAAAATTGGGAAATAACATATACAAAACTTTACATTAAATATTCTTAACTGTATTGTGATTCAAAAAAGACAGAAAGTACTCTTCATATCAATCATGGTAAATATTTTAATTGTTTCATTATAGCCAACATGTTGTCACCAAGGGCAAATCATGTCTGACTAATTTAGTGGACTTTTACGATTGAGTGACTCTGTCAGTGGACAAAGGAAGTACTGTGGATGCAATCTACCTGGACTTCTGTAAAGCCTGACAACATTCTTACCTCTTAATTTGAGAGATATGGGTTTGATGGATGGACTGTTAGATGAATAAGTAATTAAGTGGGTGGCCACATATAAAGAGTTACAGTTAATGGCTCAATGTCCAAGTGGAAAGCAGTAATAAGTGGTGTCCATCATGGGTCTGTACTGGGACCAACGGTATTTATTACCTTCATCAGTGACAGACAGTGGGATTGAGTGCATCACCAGCCAGTTTGCAGATGACACCAAACTGTGTGATGCAGTTGAGGGAACGGATGCCACCCAGAGGACCTTGACAGGCTTGAGGATGGCGCCCATGTAAACATCATGAAGTTCAACAAGGCCAAGTGTAAGGTCTGAGGGAGGGACTGAGAAGAACCTGGTGATATAAAACCGACAGAAGCAGCTTCATCACTTTCTGTTCTAATTTGCAATGTAGCAGGCTAACAAGGAATTAGAAAAGGAGAAAGAAGTGGTGTTACAGACTTTCTTTCTACTAGTTCTCCACAGTGCTAAAGTCTCTGGAGATGTTAAACCAGCAACATATCTTAAAGCTGGCCACAAATACATTATGTTGCATTCAGGCCTCATTGATTAGCTGTGGGAGACCTTTGCACCATGCTGCTCTAATTCTATTTGTGTGTAGTGCAGACTAGTCCATAAATTTTGAGTCAGAGGATCATTAGATGAACTAATTCCCTGTGTGTAGCATAAATGATAGAATTTCATGCAGAGATTTCTGCACCAAACTCTTGTAAAACCTGAACTAAACCATTTCTTTTGATAGACTTCTGAGGTTCCTTGGCTTCCCCATCATCAGCTTTCTGCTGATTGCGTCCAGCTCTGGAGTCCTCAGCACAGGAAAGACACTGACCTGTTGGAGTGGGTCCAGAGGACAAAAAAAAATATCAGAGGGCTGGAGCACCTCTCTCTATGAGGACAGGCTGAGACAGTTGAAGTTGTTCAGCCTGAAAAGAGAAGGCTCTGGGGAGACCTTATTGTGGCCTTTAAGTACTTGAAGGGGGCTTCTAAGAAAGATGGGGACAAACTTTAAATGGGGCCTGTTGCAATAAGATAAGGGGCAATGGCTTTAAAATAAAGTTTAGACTACATATAAAGAAGAAATCTTTTACAGTGAGGGTGGTGAAACACTGGAACAGATTGCCTAGAGAGGTGGTAGATGCCCCGTTCCTGGAAGCATTCAAGGTCGGGTTGGACCAGGCTCTGAGCAACCTGATCTAGTTGAAGATGTCCTTGCTTATTGAAGGGGGTGTTGGACTAGATGGCCTTTAAAAGTCCTTTCTAACCCAAACTATTCTATTCTATGATAGCACTAAGTTTGATTCCATACCTGGTGGCTATGGACAGTGGGGAATTCTTACTTCCAACACATACTGACTACCGATTTCCCCCCCTGCCAGGTATCTCTACTGTCCAAGGGGAACAAAGAACTATCCAGCAAAAGAAGAGAACTTGTAATTCTGAACAAAGGGTTCAGAGTTGTTCCTGATGAAGTCAACCTGCCTATACTTCAGCTAAGGCTGTCTGATTACCAAAGGGACAAGCTTTGCTCCTTAGATAGCATTCAGATGGAATACCAGTGTGGGACAGCTTCAAGAGACCACACATGATATTTCAGGATGATGCTGTTAACTTTAGCTTTGTTTACAGCTTAAGCACTTTAAAAGAAACATTGGGAAAGATGCTTCCAGGTTTATACATTAGGAGGAAAACACAATTCCCAACAGTACTTCTATTTTTATATACATTTTTAAAAAGAATTGTTGCATACAGGTTTTAAGAATGATAGTTCTAAGCCTGTAACCTGTTTATATTCATGTATGTCTTCTATGGGAAGAAAATGAGCTTTGTAATATGACCAGACAGAAAATATATGTAGGTTCTCTGTACCAGAAACAGACTAAACACCATCAGTATGATTTTAGTGTTTAGAAGGAATTTCTTTACTTACATTTGTATAGTAGCATATTCTAATGCTGGTGTGACGTTACTAGTCATTATTTGCAACTGGCATAGCTTCTGAAACTACTATTATTTTAGAAACAGCTGAGTTTACTGTTATTTCATAATTTCTGTATGTCTATCTTTAGGTACACATTGTATAGGTCTGTTTATATAAAATGTGTCATGTACATTTATGTACTTTTTATATACACATTCATTTACTGTTTTACAGACTAAGTAAATTAAATACATACTTTGCTGCTAATCAAAACTGTAGTACTTAAAAACACTTTCAGAATTTCAGTATTTATTAACTCTATATTATATGTAGATAAAAAATGTCTCTGCAGTAGCAGAGAAGATTTTTTTTTTTCTACAGTTTAGTAAGGAATCTTTATTAGGTACAAAGGGTTTTCTCTACAGTTGATACTGTGGCAATCATAACTGTTGAAAGAACTGTGCAGAATGCACCTGGTGATACAGCTCTACTGTCTCCGTTGAAAATTATTAACATTATGGTCATCACATGATTACTCAGAAGTAATTTGATACAGATGTGTGTTGTGTACTCTCTATAGGCTGGCAAAGGTTTCTTTTGTTTTGTTTTTTCCCCAGTGTTTTGTTTGTAAATATAGATAGCTAACTGACATTAATTTCCTAACAATTCAAGAATATTATTTCACCTACAATGTGTTACTTCAGCTTCCTGAATTGTGAAGCAGTAGAGAAAGATCCAATGGGCAGTGTAAAAAAAATATAAAATAATAATAATAATGATAATAAAAATCTATCCTCTTATCACATAGGAAGTCATCAGGTGCTATCTTTGCATCTATACAATGGTGCAGTAGTGATAGCAAAGGTCTGTTAAGGGTCAAGACATTTGATTCTTAAGGTTCCACCAGTAGGTAGCTACAGTTTTCACTAAGAATCACCACAGATGATGCATTTCCTACAATGTTACCGCTAAAAATAATTTCCTCTTCTAGTTCAGGATGCTAGTTTTGCTTTGATAGAATGAAGAAAGGGAACACAATATGGTTAAGTCTGTTGTATTATAAAGTAACTCCACGCTATATGTGGCTGCCCATGGAACTGATTACACTGATGTTTTATCCAAAAAGACTTTGTTTAAATTCAACTTTGACATGTGTTCTTCTCAAATTGCATATGAATTCTCGTAATCATTTTCCATTAAAATAGTGTAAAACCAATCTACACTTAAAGTAGCCTATTTTAATATCTTTTTGCAGAAATATCTTATAAATTGTCAGAGTGCATTGAATGCCTTAGAAATAATTTGGACCTTATTTGAAGCATGTTTTGAAGTATCATTGTTTATATTTTGTCTGGATTTGTGTGATAGGATAGTGTTCATTCATACTTGATGGCATTATTTTTGTTGAGAAATAGAGTATAATTAATTCCTTGTATTGTGCTCTTCTTAATGTATTTTTAGTGCTGCTAACTTTGAAGCAAATTTTATGCTCTTTTTTGTGACTGTGAAAAGTGCTGGTGGCAAGCACAGGAGAGCAGACTTCTCTTCAGTAACTACAAGACAAGGGGGATTGGTGACATGTTGAGCTGCAAACACCAAGGCAAATCAAAGCAAGAAATCAGTGGTATTTTCTGTTTCTTTCTTAATCTTCACTAGGATTTTTTTTTTCTCCTTGGCTGCAACTGAACTGACATGCTGACTGTTGTAGGAAAAAGCTGATGCATTTTACATGCAGGGCAATTAACTGCCACAGAAGATTCATTATCTAAGCTGTTAAGTAATTTATAGCATTAGTGCATAGATGGTGTCCACTGAGATCAGCATCCATTGTGTTTCCCATTGTATGAAGAGTAACAAGAGCCAGTTCTGCCATGAATAATTTCTGTATGGCTAAATTTTTTATAGACAATATAGATGAAGCATATTTAGGGAAATGCAGAGACCAAAAATAAGTTGCCCAATATCACAGAATCACAGAATCACAGAATCTTCTAGGTTGGAAGGGACCTTAAAGATCATCTTGTCCAACCGTCATATCATTCAGCAAATCATCAGCAAACTTGAGAACGGGACCTACATTTCCTGAATACCAGTCCAATGCATAACTGACTGGTATCCTTCAAGGTGTGTATCTTTTTTTCTTACATGCTTGTAATCTTCAATGTAACCTCTGCAAAAATTAGAGAAACAGGCATAGTGGTACTTATCATTTAACTAATTGAAAAAGATTCAGCAAAGCATGGGTACTAACAATGTTGAAACACTGTACCAAACTAAAGTTAACTTTTGATTATTTGTGAGTTAATCTAAACTGTGATTTATGTAGGCTTTTCCTTCGCTTTGCTTGGCTGCAGTGAAATACCTGAGATTATGCAGTATTCTGCCTTCTATTATTCATACTTGCACCTACTTTCTGCAGTCATCTGATTACAAGTACTTTCTCAGGAGAATGCACTGTGTGTGTATTCTGTAGCCTGATTTACATATATTTTGCTCTGTCAGAAACTTTTCCCAGTCTCCTGTCATATCCCTGAATAATCAAATGTTGACATTGCATCAAATCATTAATTCTATTCCATACGGGAATTCCTGTTTACAGTCACAGAATAATGTATTTAAAGACTACTTCTTACAGTCATTGTAACTTGTAGAATTGCTGCCTGATTATTGGTATTTCATGTCAAGAAATTTGACAATAAGTTCATGAACTTGTGGAATTATGTTAATTATAAAAGAAAGGCCAACAACATTTCTTGTTAAAAACAAGAAAGCTTCTAGCATTGACTTCCCCAAACTGAATAATATACACAGTTTTAATATGTATGAATTCTGTTCTGTGTTTAGGAAGAACTGGCGAGTCTGACTGACTGCATTTCAGGACATGTGAAAAGAGGAAACCACTTGAGAATGTTTGGTTTTGACTGTATGAATTCACCCCGCATTTGAATTCTAAAACTTTTCAACTGAAAGTTTCATCATTCCATTTGTCTAGACATACAATAACAATTGGAAAGAAAGGTCTTTTAATTAATTTTGTTTCTTGACTTGCAGGAAGCTAAATCATATGAATGGTCTCTGTTCAATGCTTTCAACAGGAGATGGTGAGAATCGTAATGATAAAACTGGTAATTTTTAAATATTTGACATTTGAGACATTTGATAGCAAAGCTCTATGGTGAACGCTTTTGACCGTTACCGACTCTTGCTACTGAAAAGATCATGTTGAATAAGAGGAAAGAAAGCGGTAGTGGGTAAGATAAGTTAAAAAGTGGTAGTAGGTAAGATAAGTTGCTCTGTGAGCCTACTTAACATTTTCTCATCTTTTCTACCTAGTCCTCAGGCAAAATAGGGATGGAATTTTCCCATAGACTGCCTTCTTCCACAATGTAATATTTATATGCTCTACAAATACATACATAAAATAATTGAAACAATAAATAGTAATTGAAAAAATGTTTATTGACTCAATTTAAAAGGGTGCTTAAAAATTTGCTTCAATTAACAGTATCTGGAATCAAAGGCCTACATTTCTTTAGCTTGATCATGACAATTAGCTCTTTCATTTTTTTCAGACAGGTCATGATACAGTGGAATTATACAAGATGATGAATGTTGGCAGAATATGTCAGTTTGATGTAGTGGGTCTGATGCTCTGGCCTGCAGTTGATGACACAGCATATGCCTGCAGGGTTATGCATCTAAAATCTGTTGTGATTCATTTGTAGTCCAAATGCAGTCCATGAAAATAAATGGGAGACAGTAGTGTACCAAGTAGAAGCAGGACTTTCACCTGTTAGCAGTGTTAGTGTGAAAGGTTGTCCTCTGAAGACCTGTAGGAGCCAGCAGCAGCACAGTAAACCCTAGAGACTTTTGTAAAGCTCTACAATGCAATCTGTTAGTCTTAAATTATGTTGTGCTGAATGGATCATTTTTGCAATTAGGTTTATATTGCAGACTGTAGACATTAAATAAACGAGGAAGGTGTAGCGCTCTGTAACTGCAGAGAGCTATTTTTAAAGGTGTCTTCAGTGAGGCCTAAATTAATGTTGACCTATTTGTCTTCTTCCCTTCTTTGAGACAGACATTTCTCATGCTTCTTTACATACAGTTTGAATACTGTCTCTGAATAAGAAAGCCTGGCAGTCAATTAGAGCTTTGCCTTGAGTGACCTGCCCACTGTCTTTCAGAAAGAGTTTTTTCTGAGACTTCATTATTAAATGATGGTGCACTAATAGTGATTTTTTTTTTATTGAAAATAATTATGGAAGGGATGGAAATAGATATTCCTGACGTGAAAGAGTAATGGACAATGAAAAATACTGTGTTCCTGAACATGTTAATCAATCAACAATGAACTTATCTCTCATAGCCCTGTACTCAGTAAGAAGTGACTGCTGAGAGACATGCTGGTGGAAATCAGTGGGTACAAACCTTTTTTACCAATAGGAAACTCACTTTGTATTCAGATTTCACTAGGTGAAACTAAGACTATTTGACAGAACAGAATTGTGGCACAACTGTTGAAAGGGTCCAGTAAATGCAAAACGCGACAGTAATAATTGAGCACTGTTCTGCTGAAATCACTGTATCTTGTGGAGAATTTTGAATATATGATCAGGTTACGTCTCTAGAATTTCATTTGTTGAGACACGAGACTTCCCATACTCAATAAATACTTATTCTAAAGAGGGCACCCTTATTTTCTCCAAGAATGAGACTTCATTAGTCTCCATGCATTTTCTGAACCTGTGACCTTTGCATTGGTGCATCTAGCTCTAAGGTCACACACAGAAGATCAGGATACATGGCTCTAGAATCTGGAGACCAAAGAATTCCTGTGAGGGAGGAATTCTTGCAGCTTTTTCTTACCAATGTAGCATAGAAAACCACACAATATGGCTGCAATATAGA